CTCTACTTTGCATACAGAAGCAGCAGCAGCAGTACTCGCACGTAATACTTTTGGGGCGTATAGGCGTACATCGTATAGTTCTCGTTGTTCTTGTTGCTGTGGTCAGCAAATGGCAAAAAAATAAATATTAAACATGTGCCAGACAGACAGTCGAAACCCCTGCCTGTCGACTAGGTAGTGCCACATGCAAATCAGGCAGCGTAATAGTAGTGTCGTCGTCGTCGTCAGTGACTGCACTATACGATTCAGAGCTTTTGATTTTGTGTGTCCAAAAGGTGCCTTGTGCTGTGGCTTCAATCAAAGCGAAGCAAAATCCAAGCAGCAAGTGTGTGTTAGGGAAGGGAAATTGTTGGATTTTTATAGGTCAGACCACAGAGACAAAGTGTGACAGAGTGGGAATGCTTCAAAGGGGGTTGTTGGGCAACAGAAATACTTCAATAGAGAAGCCAAAGCTTCTCTTGAGCTGACAGTATGGTTTAGTATTTTCAATTAAAGTGAAGATTTGGATGGAAAACTTAATAAAAGCATTTACAAAAGTCAAAGCTTAAGGAGCAGGTTATAATTTAACGACCGGAATAACATCCGTTTTACAGAAGAAAGTGGAAATAAAACAAAAAAAAAAACTCTTTAAGGGTCATTACATTTCGGACAAAATTAGCAATTTAGATGCGATGAAAGTGAAGATTGGAGAGAATATACCATGTAAGAACGAATGAATATATGAATAATAATGTATAAAAGAGGCACAGCGAGCTGCAGAGTGAACGAAAGTTACGAGATGTTAACCTGAAGATGAAGAAGAATGTTAATCTTGGAACCAAGTGGGGAAAATTATAAACAGGAGAACGAGAAAAGACATGCAGGCAGAAACGAGAATAGCTAAAAGATACAACAGCCTTCGGAGATTAATCTAAGAAAACTAATTCATGTTTTATTTATTGCATTTAAATCTTGACTTAAATTTGACTGAATCTTTGTGACTAAAAAACTATTTTTAGAACATACTGGCATGCTGTAATCTGTATAATATTTACTATTAAATTGCCAGTCAATCAATCATATTACTGCATCAAAACAACATTTGCGGTTAAGACTTTGACGTGTAAAATACACGTGCCAATTAATTTATTGCTCCGCTCCGCTTTTAACGACTACAGTGAGAACTGTACAAAGTTAATGGTTTTAAATACTTTGGGATCAGATATAAATGAAAGTAATCTTAGAACCAAAACCACCAAAATAATATCAAAATGAAAGACTTTAACTTCTAGAACTTAAAAACTTTATTTTATAGAGCGGAAGTTATATACTAATTAAAACTTTAAGGCATTAAATATGCATTGATATTTTCACACAATTTAGTGAGATTCAGAGCCCTTAAATATACATACATAGCAGCAGCAGCAGTACTCGCACGTAATAAAATATCCTTTTTATTTTTAACTGAAACGAGTAGGAAGGTGTGTGAGACGCTTCGTAAGCGTCACAACTTTTATACCCGGTACTCAGTCAGTATATCTGTCCTTACTGGTTTTTCGAATTTTACATTTTGTCTACATCTGTCATCTACATTTAAGCTCACCACCCTCCCCTGCATTTAGTTTCCTCTTATTTTTACACCCGGTACTCAAAGAGTAAATAGGGTATATTGTATTTGTGCGAATAACGGTTGTATGTAACGCACAGAAGGAAACGTTTCCGACCCCATAAAGTATATATATTCTTGATCAGCATCAATAGACGAGTCGATAGAGCCATGTCTGTCTGTCCGTCTGTCCGTCCGTCCGTCTTGTTTGTCTGCTAGTTCTCAGGGACTATAAGAGCTAGAGCCACCAAATTTTTCTCCAGACTGCTGTATGCTCACCCTGAAACCAGTGTATTTCAATGAGCCACGCCCCCTTCCGCCCCCGCAAAAGGGCGAAAACCTACCAAATCTACAGTTTTGAAGATAAAAGAAATGATCCGATCGGATCATTATTATAGACACAAACAACAAATTACAAAACATTCGGATTTTGTGGAGGCGAAATTTAAAAGTACACTTGTAACAGTGTGATATAAAGGCCATCTGGATGCCAAATTTGGTGGCTCTAGCTTTTATAATCTCTTATATCTCGGCGCTAATCAAGACGGCGGACAAACGGACAGGCAGACAGACAGGCAGACAGACAGGCAGACATACATGGATATATGTATATGCTGATCAAGAATATATGTATTGTATATACTTTATGGGGTCGGAAACATTTACTTCTGTGCTTTACATACATCCACTTTTCACTCTAGCCGCTTTAATGGAACTCAAATAAAACAAAATGCAAACCAATCTACCCTCCCTGCTCTGTCACTTGCCCAAACAATACGTCAACAGTCAAAACAAATGCACCGCTAACGCCAGTCATAATTACTAACAGTTAGATAGTATAACTAGTAGTTAGTAGCTATACATACAATTCTAAATATTCACGCGATAATGCTGAGAAGGCACGGAATCTTTTTGCTTTGTGGGCGCGAAAATGCCTTAGCCAGAATGACATTCGCATTTGGTTCGGGTACGTACCCGATCTTCGATTCGTTACTATTCGGTTCGGCACCGACACCTACACGATCTTTCATTCGGATCGCACCAAAAAACTTGTTCAGTAGGCATGAGTCAGCACTTTTCAGCACACATATAACCAACCGATGCGTCTTATCAGTAGCAACATTTTTATTCAGATTTAGAGTAAAAGCAAGCAGTGTATTTAAAAAATTGAAAGCCATTTCAGGCGCCTATTGGCCTTTTTCATTTCAATGTCAAGTGCAGGCTAAGTAATGGGTTTATTCACACCGGAAAATGACCTCAAAATTATATTTATTTTAGTAGCCGGAAAGTTTCCACATGCTTTTCGGATCATTTAAGAGCATAATCCAGAGTAATCAGTTTTGGTTTTTTTGAAAGGTCTATGACTAAACTGACAGATAGCTGAGACTGGCCCACAAATGTCTTAAGATTTTATTATTACACTACACAATAAAAACGAACTTTGTATTTAATCAACGCACTATTTTTATACTTCTGAAAGATTTTTGGCTTTAGCCGTTTTTAATGAACAAAGGTATTTTTCGATTGCAGGCATTTTCTTTTAGTAATTTTTAAAATTTGTTTTTTATTTTGATGTTTTTTTAATGAACAGTTGATCAAAAAATTCATTAAGCAATTTCATTGATAAAACCCTAACCGAAAAATTAGTTATTAGTAGTTATATTTATGATACGATATCGCATACGATTACAAAATCTGTAACAAGTTGTCCCGGCAATCGGCTACACTCCCATATCTAACCTTATCTCACTAATCGGCATCTACAGACGATGAGTCCCCTGTATTTTTCCGTTCTCTGATAACTAACTCCCTACTTTAAAGATATTTTCGCACGTAAATCTTCAGATACGTTCACAACTTATCACATCTGCCATAGCCGACCTTATTGACAGTTTTCTCTACTGAGCGCACACTGTATAGCACAACCCTGAGGTTTTACACCTTATCTACATATGTTTCTTCCTCAATGGCGACAGCTGACAGCAAGACTTAACTGATTACTCGTCAGGGGCGTAATTCACGTTTCAATTGATGTTTTACACATCATGTAATGTCATGTAACAAATGGCACAAAAACAATATCAAACGCGTAATAACAAAATTATTAAAGAGAATTACACGCGATGCGCGTGCACTGCATCAGACCGAGAGGTCCAGTGGCAGAGAGATAGAGAGCTGGGTGGACAGTACGCGTTAGAGCGAGAACGAACTAGTAACAGATTTTAGGCAACGCAACAGATGTCCGATAGAGGGAGAGAGAGCGATTGAAGCAACAGGTAGTGAACCTTAAACTCTCTTTTTTTCCTACTGCGCTGGCTTCACTGAGTGTGTTTGTGTGTGTGCGTTGTAACCTTGACCATCAATACGGCGCCGCTTATGGCGTGTATAAAATATCAATTAATTATTCGATTTCGACTGCGCGTGGCCTGGCATTGGCCCCAAAAATTCCTCCGCTCGGGTGGGGCAATGCATGGAAAACTCTTACTCGATGGAACTCTTACCGTGCAACGGATGTGAGAGGTTGTAACGATTATACACACGATCGGATTTACAGATGCGCCTCTTCCTGTTTTCTTCTCTTCTCTCTCTTTGGTTTCTTTTCTGTTCACGTTTTCTTGCTGACTGTTTTACATTTACATGCACCGCGAAATGGACGACAACAACGACTGCGCGGCCAGCGCCTAATTTGTTTTATTTAGTTAAAGTTTTTTATTTAGCCACGACGTCGACCGCTGAATTATCGATAAAATATACCGTCAGGGCCTAGTAAATATTCCAAAATATACCATAGCATCTTCAAAATATACTGTAAATATACCGTAGTCTTAAATCAGAGACCTCGATTTTGATCTTCTATTTAATATTACTAGCTTGCAAAGACTTTCACCGCTGAAAAAATAATTTAATCCGATTGAAGAATCAATTTTGCCGATTATAAATACTCCTTTTTATTGGATTGGTTACCCTATGACCTTATATTTTACAAATTTTTATTTGAATTTTTTATTCAAATCACCCCTCGGGAAGCAAGGTAGCTTTGTCTTCAGTATGTAAATGATGTAAATTATTAACAGAGACGCATGTACATATGTTAACTACTATCATTGACAACTAGTCAAAGTGCGCGCGGAACAATACATATAAACCTTTGTAGAGTTGATCTTGAACTAAACTCTATGTTATTGAATATACCTTAAACATGTAATTTAATAGACGTCTGAAATTCATGAAATATTCCAGTATATGCCGATTTACTGTTATTATACATTTAACTCCTTTTCTTAGGTAAAATATCCCGAAAAGCATAAAATATAGCAATGGTCACCCTGATTTCTATATATATATATTATTATATCGATATATATATATATATATATATATATATATCGATAAGAGTTAGTTTTTTACATTTACATCGGTGTATTAGCACAACGAGGTGAGCCCACTTGCCACAGAACCTCCAGGGTGTGTAACCTATAGTGGGGAACACTCTTTTTCGCAAAACCAAACAAAACAAACAATTCTGTAATTCTAATGCTGGTGGGGTTTGAAACGCTAAATAACTATATGGTAGTCCAATACTTTAGATTCATTTGCTTACAGGACAATGAAGGATAGATGCAGAGTCTGCATGGCTATGGCCGGACCATTCATAAACATTTTTGATGAGCGACCAACATGGGACACTTGCGTTGGTGACATGATAGCACAGTGCACCGGGTACGTGGTTGAGCGAGGCGATTCGCTATCCGAAAAGATATGTCCGTTTTGCCTGGAGGATGCCGTGAGTGCCTTCAGTCTAAAGAAAACCTGTGAGCAGAGCCATCAGGTGGATTGGGAACAGTTGTTGGATAGTCAGGTACGGTTTGAAACCAAACCGAGCCGAGGTGGCACGATGAAACGACCGTACCAGTGTGCTGAGTGCTCAAGGTCTTTCGCATATTCCAAAAGTCTACGCAATCACGTTTGCCACCAGTGCGACGACTGTGCAAAGTCATTTAAGAGTGTGTCCAGGCTCATCTTACACAGCCGTACACAGCACAAAGGCGAGCGACCATATCAGTGCACTGAATGCTCCAAGACATTTAAGCAGAAATCCCATCTAAACGCACACAAACATACGCACACGAGGGAGCAGTTCTACCAGAGCACTGGCCGCACGAAATCGTTTCAACAGCAGCTAACCCATCACACTGAACACCCCCCCAGGAACCCGCGCGAGCAACCACTCAAGTGTGCGCACTGTGACAAATTCATTCTTGGGAAAAAAACTCTGCGAGAACATACCCTCACACATGCGGAAGAGCTGCCCTACCAGCAAGCACCCTGCTCAAAGTCTTTTGAGGATCAATCGAGCCTGCAAGTGCACATCCCTTGCCCCGCGGTGGCACACCAGTGCGTCGAATGCTCAAAGGCATTTATAAGCAAAGCCTGTCTGGAGAGGCACATCCAACTGGAACACTACGATGAACACATCATCGGCATTTAAAGAACAAAACTGATATTACTTAATACTTGGACCATTCCTGTCTGGAAAGGCACATCTCATGGAAACGCACTGAAAACAAACCCATACCATGTTGGCGATTATTGAATACATTTAATTATATGAAACCGTAATTTTTGGAATGCCCTGCCGCACCTACTGGAAGTAGTCGGAGTTTTTTCGCTCAGAAATGATTATGGAGCACTTGTTGAACAAGGCATGATAGAAGATACGGTACAGACTGTAAAACTATAATTATTTGGAGATCTAGTACCGGATAAAATATAGTTTAAACCATTGCAATGTTTTGATTTTTATACCCGGTACTCGAAGAGTAAATAGCGAATATTGTATTTGTGCACAAAGTGAATGTATGTAACGCACAGAAGGAAACGTTTCCGACCCCATAAAGTATATATATTCTTGATCAGCATCAATAACCGAGTCGATTGAGCCAAGTCTTTCTGTCCGTCCGTCCGTCCGTCTTGTTGAGCGCCTGGATCCCAGAGACTATAAGAGCTAGAGCCACCAAATTTTGCATCCAGACTTCTGTATGCTCACACTGTTACAAGTTTATTTCAAAAATGAGCCACACGATATTACTTTTCGACCCACCGACTGCTCACTCCATTCGTACACACCTGCACCGATCGAAATATGTGACAAATTTTGGCCTTGAGAGGTGGGATGCAATGGATATTTAAGGATAATTTAGAGAGTAAAAGTTTTCGCGGATTCATTCATTAATTAATTCACCTGTTCAAGTAGAGGCCCTATTTACGGTATATTCTGGAAATACGAAGGTATAATTCGGTATATTTCTGAGCGTCCCATGGTATATTTGATCGAAAATCCGCGGTCACACTGACCACCTACTCGTTTTTAGTTTTTTGTTAACAACTTTTATTTATTTTATTTAGCACGGGCTTCGGGCTGCTTTTAGCCAATTATTTAACGAACGTGACGCGTGTGCCATTGTGCCCCAGCCGCAGTGCCTTAGCAGCTGTTCGCGGACAGCCTGCAAAAAGAACGAAGACGTTCCAATTGTGTAATTTACATGTAAATTCCTGTGGGGCTGAAAGAAAGACACCAGCCACAGTGTCCCGTACCCGTAGACCAGGTCTTCGTTCCCCCCGCCCCTGAGCGAGCCCTGAGCCACGCGCTAAGCTCCGAGCACGGCACGGAAATGCCATTTAAATTCTTGAAAAAGTGTCGCCAATATAATGTGACGTCTAAAAGTTTATTTGTTATATCAGTGCATCATTTGTTGGGTGAGTAGACGAGCCAGGAAAGGGGCGTACCACTCAACTATCAGCTATATAATATCTATGAATCGTCGGTGTCGCCTGTTCACAAAACAGCTGCCATTACACTTGTTGGTTGACTTATTCAATTGCAAATCTACACATAATTTTAGATTTTGTACTTTTATGGCCGCCTCCACATGATAAGCAATTGGTTTATCATGGCCTGATACCAGTTTTTTTCTCTTTTTTTGTTTGCCTGTCTGCTTGCAAGGGGCCAACCAACAACAGGTAAACCTGTTGCAGCTGTTATCTTGCCTTAACAGTTAAGCACTGTAACAGTCTGTTAGCAGAGTTTGCTATGTTAGCGTACATTACCATTGGAAAACCATTAAGAAACCCAAAAAACCTCGTCAATTTCCGTTTTTTAATACAAGTAAGGTCTCTCAAGAGATTAGAAAGAAGACAGGCGAACTTCTTCTTTGGAGTGTAGACTGATTGGATACCCTTTTTTATCACAAAAGTCATAAAATTCGTACATCAAATAAGAGTCTTCTCCTGACTTTTCTTTGAGAACATCTCTTGTAATCTGCCCAAACCCATCATACCCCCTCCGTAAAGGGTATTTCAAATATATTTACATATTTGCGCGTGCTGTGGGCCAGGCCCAGAGAGTCAACCATTTTTGTATCGTTTTCCGAGCACGTTTGTAATCGTAAAACCTCTTACCTCTATTAGACACCTCCAGCACCGTCGATTGCACCATCAGTTCGGAGAGCAAGGGCCAGGAGTGCTTGGACAATGTCTGCCAGCGTCTGCTCATCCAGCAACCAGAGTTCTTTGGTCTGCGCTACCTCGTCCGCGGCAAAGAGGATGAGTACAAATGGATCGATCTGGAGCGATCGCTGAGCCGGCAGCTGGAGAAGTATGCGGCGGGGCCAAAGATCTATTTACGTGTGCGTCACTATGTGACGACGGGTGTGCGGCACCTGAGCGACGAGGCTACCAGATTCTACTACTTTCTGCAGCTAAAAAGTGACATTTATGAGGGCAAGATCGCCTGTGACATCCGCACAGCCATACTGTTGGCTCTGTACTGTCGGCAGGCCGAGTACGACAGCTACCAGGGGGATAAGCAGAGCAAGGATTACCTAAAAAAGTCGCTGGTGCTGCCGCGCAATATGCAGGGCCTGGCGAACGATGACAGTATGCTGGAGGGCCTCATTATGGAGGTGCTGCAGCAGCAGCCTACTCTCGCACATCTCACACAGAGCCAGGCGGAGGAGATGTACATTCAGTGCTGCCAGCAGCTGGATGGCTATGGGGAGGAACGCTTCTCTGCGAAGGATACGCTGGGGAACGATCTGCTGCTTGGTCTGGCCATCAACGGAATGGTGGTGAATGCCGACAATGGGCGGCAGTACTTTCCCTGGAAGGACTTTCACACGGTAACCATCGACAAGCGCACCATCAAGATCGAGCAGAACAAACTAGATGGCGACGGCAGCATTGTGGGCAGCTTCATCTTCGGGGAGGCCGACACGGCACGCTACTTCTGGAAGCTGTGCATCAGCCAGCACAAGTTCTTCAAGCGGTACATCGACACGGCCACGCCGTCGAGCGTGGGCAGTGCTGCGGACGTGGAGAGCAGCGGACACATTGGCGGCGACAGCGTGGGCTATGTGGACTATGACTATGGAGAGGCGGCAGCCGTCGAGCAACTCCAGCAGCAGCAACACCATCAAATGCAACATCAACAACAGCAGCAGCAACAACAGCAGCAGCAGCTACAGCAGCAGCAGCAGCAGCAGCAGCAGCTACATCAGCAGCAGCAACACCAACAGATGCAACAGCAGCAGCAGCAGCAACATCAAATGTTATCCTCCAATATGTCCCTCACAACCAGCGCCAATCACAGCCACAGTCAGCTGCTGGGGCAAAGCAGCTCCTGCCTCGATTTAAGCAACAATAATCTGCACAGCAGCAATGGCATGCTGCACCACAACAACAACAATGAGGAAAGGGAGCGCCTTAAGGCCATGCTGCCCACATATAGACCCGCTCCGGACTATGAGACGGCCGTCCAGCTGAAATATCGCACTCCCTCCACGGAGCTGCACAATGTGACGCTCGCATTGGCCGCCCCGGGGAATGCCTACTATGCGGGCTCCCAGCCGGATGTCCACAATCCTGGCGGATACAATGAGAACGTAGTCTTTGGCCATCTGACGGCCCACCGGTATCCGGATGTGGCACAGCCAGCAGCAGCCCTGCATCATCATATCAATCTCTACCAGACGCAGCAGCAGCAACAACAACAACAACAGCAACAGCCAGCGGTGGGCACAGCTCAGGCGTACCTGGAGCTGTCGCAGCGGATGCACATGATGCGACACAAGGCACCGCCGCCGTATCCCGTCAATCGTCTGAGCTCCTCTTCGACGCCCGATCTGGCTGTGGCCACGCCCCGACCGCTGCAGGGATACCGCAACTATGTGAGCGGCTCGTCGCCAGATCTAGTCTCCAATCGCACGCTCCTCAATGGCGGACAGTTTGTGGCATTGGCGGCTGGTGGGCATGGCGGGAATATGCCCACATCCTCGGGCGCTACCATGCTGCATCACTACATCGGACACATGGGGCACTCGCAACCTTATTTGCCGCCGCATGGCACCTTCGAGAACCTCAATATGATCGAGGAGCAGCCGTCCATTATGTCGCAGCTGCGTCAATCGGCCATGAGTCAGGCAGCGGCCCAAGCAGCCACACAGAGGTACGTTTACAGATGAAATAAAAAAAAATCCAACAGCAACAAATAAGGAGAATAATTAAGAAGAAATCGCGATATAACATTTTTTCTATGGAAATTGTGGATATAGGTGGAGATATCCAACAGATTGTGGGACACTTTATGGCTCCGTTTAGATGAACAGCTGTCCCGTACGGCTGTGATAATAGATTCCCCATAAAAAGAAAAGAAAACTTATCCCCCTTCTGTACTTCCTTTTCAGCTCACCCACCCTACCACCGAGTGGCTATCGGAGCTCTGCACCACCGCCAGCCAGCAGTCCACAGCCACCGCCAGTGGTGGTGCCCCCACAGAAATCCACCACACCGACGCCCTTACAGCGCAGCGTAATCAACGGTTCCATTGAGCCGATCTACGAGAATGTGCCACTGCCTCAGTCGGCGATGCCAGGTGTGGTGCCCGTCCCGGCAGTGCGTCATTCCAGCACCAACAATGTGGTCACTGTGACGGTGAATGCCCAGCCGAGCGATGAGATTACGCGGAATGTACAAAAGTTTTCTGCGGATCGGACGGTCAGCAGCGAGATGCAGTTCCTGGAGCCACAGGCACCACCTCGTCAGCATAGGTCCACGGCGAGCCTCAACAAATCCACGACAGTGGATGTCATTTCACCCGCAGGCGATACGCTTCATCAACATTTTAGTGCCATGAATCTGTCAGCGAATACGTCAGCATCCACCTCATCCATGTTCAATTCGACGCTGGACACCACCTCCTCGTCGGCGGCCAGCAAAGATGGCAAGCGGAAGAAGCGCTGGAACTTTCTGGCGCGCAGCAAAACACCCGACAAGCAGAAGGCAGCCACGCTGGGCAGAGAGAAGGCCACCTCATCCAACCAGCAGGCAAAGCTGGCGGCAAAAATGAAGCTGGCCCAAGACGATCTCAATCTGCCCAATCGTTGGTCGACGGGGGTGAGCAAACCGCAGCCCATTTCAGGCCAATATTCCAAGGATAAACTGGTAAGACGTTTCGCGGAATGCTTTGAGGATGTTGCTAATGTTGGTGCCATTTCAGTGCCAGATTCTCAATGAGAAACTACAGGATACGCAGCTATTTATGGAGTTTGAACGCATACCGAAGCGACGGGAACATGCGCTGTACGAATGCGCTCTGCTGGAGGAGAACGAACAGAAGAATCATGATCCCAATTTTCTTCCCTACGACGATAATCGTGTGAGACTCACACCCTCGATGGACAATCGTCATGGCTATGTGAATGCCTCGTATATATCGGTATGGCTTTACGCCTTTTTAAAGCTTCCTTTAAGCGTAACTTTAATTTGTTTTCTTAGGCCACTGTGGGCACCAAGCAGCGCTTTTATATTGTGGCGCAATCCCCGCAAGAATCACAGACAATGCGCATCTTCTGGCAGTGTGTGTGGGAGGCCGATGTCTACTTGGTGGTGCAGCTAACCGAAGATAAGAGCTACATCCCACTGAGCAGTCAGCAGCGTTTGGAGTTTGGACAGGTACGAAATGGCATTATCCTGACTTGCAGCATTTTTTAATTAAATTCCCTTATCTCTTTGCAGTTTCAAGTGTATCAGGAATTCTCACAGACCACCGATCGTTGCACCACCAGCAAACTGCGTCTGTATCATGCACCCTCGCGTCGCTATCGTTCTGTGTGGCATTTGCAGTACGCCGATTGGGCGGAACAGAATTGCCCGCGTGATGTCAATCATTTTCTTGACTTTCTCGAGGAGCTCAACTCTGTGAGATTGGCCTCGACACATGAGGTGCCGCCAGGACACAATACGAATCCGCCGGTGCTCATACACTGCCTGGAAGGGGGCGGGAGGTCTGGTGTAACCCTAACAGCGGATCTACTGCTATATACTTTAGATCACAACGAGGTAAGAGGGAGAACTTAGATTTTGATTAGTAGATATTAATGGATTTCTCTGATATTTCTAGGATTTGGATATACCCCGTGTTATTGGACAGCTGCGTCACCAGCGTGACAGCATAATACCATCCCTGGCGCAATATAAGTTCATCTACAATCTGCTCATCACGTATCTGAAGCGAACGAGATTGATTTAGTAGAGAAAACAGGTCAGAGGGACTTCCCTAAAAAGTATTTTTCATTCTTTAAGATTTATACAATACGAAAAAGCGAACAATTTTACTTAAGACTTTGTCCATACATATATTCAGCATATACAGTGCGTGCCATGGCTATATATAGTACTGTAACGCACTGATCAAAGACCACAAACTGTTCTTCCTTTATGGGCAGCCTTTTTTTAAACACAAACCCCCAACATAGTTTTACCATAAGGTGTGCAGAATTTGTTACCAAAACTAGAACCACAATTTAATTTTGTTAATTATACGATTAACGCGTAGTAGTGCCTAGGGTTAAAGCCAAATTATTTATACATATAGTAAATATATATTTTTTAAAACATAAGAGCAAAGGCAAAAACCAATTAACGAATTGATATCCTACAGAAAGCAATAAAAAATTATTCTACATTTTATAGATGTGTTTATAATTCATTTATTTATCGACTAATGCTTCCAAAACACATACATATAGAGTATACATATAGAGTTTTTCAATGATTTACAAAATACAATTCAAATACTGTTTCGTGTAAATATTAATTGTTATTAAAAAACTCCGTTTTTTATTTGTATTGATTGAAGACGGACGGGAAGGATCATAGTAAATAGGATTTGGATACGGATCGGCGAAACTGCTGGACATTTTTGAGAAAAGGTTTCAGACAGTTCTAAAATGGTGGGATTTCCTCTTTGGATTCCTTAAAATATTGCTAAACGGAATGGTTATCTTCAAAATATTTAGATATTTTTGGCACTTCTATAGAATAGTTCTCAACATTCCATATATTTAATACGAAATTAGCTAAATCAAAATGCATAAAAATTCATATATTTTTCTTTGAAAATAATTTACTTTTACAACCCATGATAGTCTACAAAAAAACAACCATTAAATATTAAATGGTAAAGCTGGGAGGCAAAAATACGATACACATGCCCACAAATTTTAACGGAATATCATTCTTCCCCCACTCAAAAGTTTGTACTTTCATTACTGCCTCATTCAGGGTTGGTTTTCGGTTATTAATTTAAGCAAAATGCACAATTGGTTTTATTTTTTGTGTGTTTTTATTAAATTATTTGAGTTTTGTTTGATAACCTTCTTGTGAGAATGCTCAGGGCATATTCCATTTTTAACTTAATTTAAGATACAAAGAGCACGTTGTATACATTTGTTAAATTTCTGTCTTTAGCTAAATATTTACTTTGCTTATACGAATCATTTTGGGACACGCTTAGAGCTTGCGAAGTTAATTTTAAACCAAAGGTCTCAGATCTGGATTATTTATCCTACCCTTTCCTTGGACGTTGGCATGCAATGGCTGCTCTATGAAATGTCCCATGCAGCACTAAACCGAAGCCTGTTGCGCAGGGATTCTATCAGAATTTGGAATTATTATGAGTTTTAATGGTTTCAGATGTCTACAGCATCACTCTGAAATATAATATATATTGAAAAATAACTTCGCAGCCTCATTAATGGAACCATCGTTAATCTGAGTAAACGTGCTTAAAGTTGTTGCCAAAATGTACATCGTATAGGCAAAGTACAAATTTCTTAAAAGTACTTCTGATTCGAATTTCTTTCGGGATGTTTAGCAAAACATAAATTGATTTTTGCATTGGAATTCAGGCTAGTTTTTGTTCAGGTTTTGTGTTTTGTATACATAAATATAGTATAGAGATTTCTTGTATATAGGTTTTGTATATATATTTTATGTATATAACGGCAATCATGCACACACCAAAAATATATGGTATATATACTTTAGATTTATATTGGAGTCAAAAATGATTACATTCGGTTATGTTGCTTTCAAGTCTCAGGGTTTTTTTTGTTTCTGGTTGTTATTTTGTTGTTGAGTGTAATTGTACTTTGATGTTCTCATTTCTCGTATGTGGGCTAGAGTCTAGTCGGTATTGCATTTGTCTTTCATTACATTTCATTTTGTATCCTAACCTTCGCTAAAAAATACGCATAAATACAACGAATGATTGGAAAAATATTCGAAATCGTTTTCTCTCTCTTTGTCTCTCACTTTTTGGCTTACAAACTAAATATTTGGAATCGGAGCGAAGGTTTTTTTCAGCGTGTAGGCATAAAGTATATCGTATATATAAGTAGTATGTATATAGTATAACTAACTTGTACATAAGCATAAAAAATAAGTATACGTTAATGGAATTCACAAGAGAGTCTTTGCCTGTGTGTGTTTGAGTAAATGCTCACTAGTCCGTTCTGGCATTCGGAAACATTCGGTTCTGTTCTGTCTGTAAATGCCGACGTGTAAGTGAGTCTTCAAAGGTCTGCTTGGTGTGACGCGGGGTCTGGGTCTGCCTGCAGACGTCGTTTCTTCTACAAGAAAAGGCAACTACTAAGCGCTCGGAGGCGATGCATTTGTTTGTTTTGTTTCTGCCTGTTTTGAGGGGGAGGGGACCTTGTGTACAAAGAATTTAGCTAAATTAAATTAAAAATCGTAAGCCACTAGAGCAACTAAAATTAAACTGAAAGACACTTAATCTACATTATAAATTATATACGCGACACAATTGGGTTCCAGTTACTCATCTCTCTCTCTCACTTTTGGGCTACTCCTCCTTCTTCTCCGTCTCCTAATGCGATGAAGGGTATTAATGGAGATGCGTCTCTGTTTCTGCTTGTCTTTCATTCTTGGGTTTTTTTTTGCTGGCGAAATGGAAACCACACAACCATTAACAAAATTTGGCAACTCTACTATATGCTGAAAGGAAAAAGACCAGTTAGATTGCATTTGGGGATATATATTGATGGCACAGTGTGTTTTGGAATGAAATATTAGAACAAAGTACATGTCGTGTGCATGACTCTTAGCTGATAAGTGGATTTTTGTGTTATTTTCAGACTGCTTTCAAAATTCTCTTGCTATAACAGATAAGAACATTTTTTACAATCACAATTGAAGTCCCATCTAAACATTTCCTCATCCAAAACACACTGTTAAATAAATGCTTTCAGTACTCACAACTAATTAAATTAACATTTTAGTAGTTAAAACAGCACAATTTGATTTTATTTCATTATTGATTCATGGGTGGCATGGGGCATATGGTACACTTGGTGCTATCCATAAAATTTGGCGGTCCACCTGCGAAAAGAACCAACACACATTAGTTTATTATAAAAAGAATATATATGGGTGGGTGTTGCTATAAACTCAATTCGATCATTTATTTCTAAACACAGAAAAGACCTTAGAGACGCGAGACTCAATTCCTGCATTGCATTGGTTCTGTGGTTGTTCTGGTGGTTTATTGTGGGTTTTGGTTTGTTCTGCTGCCCTCCGGGTTTGCTGATCTATTTATCGCTGCGCTTACCATGCATGTGGTTGAGGTGCCTACTCGCCGCCGCATTGCTATGATGATGATTGTATAGACTGGCCAGCGGTGGCACATTGTAAGGCGGTGGTGGTGGCGGTGGCATGGCCAGAGATTGTTGTTGCTGTTGAAGCTGCTGCTGCTGCTGCTGTTGACTCCGCATGTGCATGTAGGCCGCAGCGGTTGGTGGTGCAGAAAGCTGTATGGTGGGTGTGGCGCCTACAATAGATGCCTGAGACGTTGTTTGTGTTGGTAGTGGTGGTGGTGTGGGCGTGCTGGGTGGTGTGTGGTTTGTGCTCTGGCAGGGACTGTTCAGATTGCGGGTGACCGCATTATTCGATATCTGCTGTAAGAGACGACAATCGGCTGCCGTGTAAACCGGAGGCGATGGCTCGTGTGTGTTGTGTTGTTGCTGTTGGTATTGTAAGTGGTGCTGTTGTTGTTGTTGGTGGAGGTGGTGCACCTGCTGTTGTTGCTGCTGCTGCTGATGCACATAGCCACTGTCACATGACGAAATGGAACCTGTTGGATGTGTGTGAAAGTAGGCGTAAAGAAAATGTTTTGGTCTACCATTGAAAGTGGATTACCCCACCAAAAGGGATAGCCATTCAAGGTGTGTGTGTGTGTGTGTGCATGTCTATACGTGTTTGTGTAGTGTAGTGTAAGCCACAACCAAATCCATAAATCACAAAACCAACCACCAAAATATTTTGAGGGAAAATCAAATGCAAGCAGGGAAAACCAGAGTCTAAAGCGCAAAATCTAACTTTTTGTTGGTCACTAAATGGCAACTAAATTTAAGCTACAGTTTATGTATAGTATAAATAGCTAATGATTTGAAAGGGAGATGCAGATACATATATATATATATAGCTAAAGGTATATAAAGAGGAATTATGTTGATTCTTTGTTCAAATGTATCAAAAGTGAAAGGACACTTTTCATATTGAATAGCACATATAGAGGGCAGACCATTTGTTAGTTAGCACAGATTTTGACCTAAGAATTCATTGTGTGTACAAATTTCACATAAATGAAAGGCTAAATTAGCTTTGAATGACTCAAACAGCGACCATTCAAAGCGAATGCAACAAAAATGATGATTCCATTTTTCCAATTTTCCATAAAAGAACCGCGAAACATTCGTTTTAAATCCGTTTAGATGATTAAATGCGCGAACATTTTTTGAAATTTTTTGAAATCTAATGAAATTTGTGGGTTTTCGGATAAACATAGATGGAAAATACCTTGGAATGAATGCAACTAGAAGTATAGATATAATTTGTAAACGTAATACGATTAGCAGTAATATCATCTATTTTTTGTATTGTTCACAAAGAATCAACATTATAGATCTGCTGCTCATTATAGCTAAAAAGAATCTTAAGCACTTTTATTGATATTTATATGCATCTATCTATCGGTTTTTAGTAGCATCTAAAAGCATGTGGTTTTAGTCCATCAATTAGCTGTGAGTCTCGTTGTAGAGCCTCGACTCACCGGAAGTCACGGATTTGCGCAAGGGTAAATCACGAAAGGTAGTCACACTACTGCTCTCCAGCGATAGATCCACCGATGGCAGCGGTGGCGGCGGTGCCGGTGTGTCCGAATGCGAACGCTCATGTATGGCCCGAACGGGCATTATGTTACCTGAAGCAAACAACAAACCATTAGATAAACAGTCGATATTTAATCCCCAGTTCGGGATTACAGAATTTCGTGCATTGTCTTTTGACTTACCTGCCGAAGCCAGACGTCGATGCGAACAGGGACTGGGACTCGGTGTGCATTGAGAGGCGGCCACCACGCCAACAGCTGTGGCTGGCGATGTGCCGCCCGTTGCTACACCCGTGCTGCCGGCCACAGGCGTCGTAAAACCATGCGCCGCATGCAAATGATGGAGGGGTGGGATGACGCCGGGCAGTGCCGAGTTGTGGCGCGGTATGAACGGCTGATGTGGCCGTATCTTGGATGATTCCGAGAGCGAGAGCATCTTCTTGACGGCCTGCGGGGAGGCTGTGCCGAATTTGGGCCCATTGTTGTGCAACTGCTGGCGCCGCTGGTTGTCGCTGGTGGAGCTCGTCGAGCTGGTGGTGGAGAGGGTGGGCGAACTGGGATGCCGCTTGCGCAGGGACAACGAGGAATTGGGCGCCGAACTGGAACTGGTGTGGGAATAAATGCTGAGCTGGTCGCCGGCATTCAGACTAGAGCTGCCGGCGCCCATACTCCCAGCGATGCTTACGCCACCAGCGCCGCCACTAGAGCTACCTCCACCACCGCTACGATGTGACGTATTGCCATGAGAGATGCTCCCAGAGTAGGTGGAACCATGTGAGGGCTCGCATTCCAGCGAAAACTTGTGCAGCAGATCCTCGTCGCTGAGTATTTTTAGGCTGTTCAGATACGCCTTCACGCGGCGCACCATTTGTGCCTCCTCGAACATCTTCTTGGGATTGGGAGCTGCCGTAGACTTCTTTCTTCGCTTGATTGTGGCCTGACCCGCATTCGCGGCTATCACCGTGCCAGCGGCCGCATTACTCTGCGAGGCGGACATCTGATTGAGCGAGAAAAGCGCATTCGAGGGCGACTGCCCCTTGAGCTCCAGAATGGCCAGCAGATCGTAGGGCGAACTGCACATGTGCGTCAGCAGGCGCACCTCCTTGGACAGCATTCGCAGCTTCTCAAAGTTGATCAAACCATCGACGCGAGTGTCGTTGCCCAGGTGTATGAATGTCAGATCCTTCTTCACAATCGGATAGAAGGGAATGATGGGATGCTGTGCCAGTAGCTCTGCAGAGACCAGCTGCCGATATTTGCTCATATTCCGCGATGGATCCATGAGATCCTGCAGATCGTTGAACAGCCGCTGATACTTTGAGGGCAGCTTCTCCCACGTGAGTCGCAGCCGCGAGACAGCGCCATGTCCCAGTCCCGAGATGATGGCGAACATGGAGTTGAAATTTCGACACTCCTTGCAGTGTCGAGCAATCTTGATGAACTGCTTGACGATCTTCATGCGTCGCACAATGTTGTGCTCGGCACAGATCTCGCTGACCACCCAGAACATCTCGCGATTCACAAGCTCTGAGAATTTGCTGAGCATTGGCACGCCGTACTTGGACTGCAGCTCAAACAGCTCATCCACGTACTCCGTGGACTCGATCTGTCTGAAGTTGGCAAAGTCCTGTAGCGTTAGCTGAATGGCCAATTCGTAGGCATTCAAGTGGAGAAAGTGCACACCCGATTCGCGCACCAATTCCAGGGCCAACTCATCGGGCACCAGCGGCTCCGTGCTGTCGTTTAGCTTGAGATAGTAGCGAGCCGCAAAGCTTATTCTCTCGGCGAGATTCTGCAGCTGATCGGGCAGGCGCCGCTGCTTAACCATGCCGCCCTCGCCCACGCTCACTTCACACAGCGAGAAATTCGAACTGGGATCGTGTATGCCGAATTCCTGGAGTGTCAGCATCACCACCTCATGGGCCGTGGTCTCCTTGTAGATGAGCACGTACTTGCATGTCTGATCCGCCTTGTAGACCTTCAGCACATGCTCCGGATAGTCGGGCAGCATGTGCGACTGCGTCGAGGTCGTCGTCAGTGTTGAGGCTGCCGATGGGCGATGGTGGAGGTGTGCGCCCAGATAGTTAACCTGTAACATGGCCGCATTATCGCTGCCGCCATCGTAATTGAGGCTCGTCAGGTCCGGATTCGATTGCGATTGATACAACCGGCCACTGCTGCTGCTTGCCACACAGCCATTGATCGAGGACTGTGTGGAGCTGCTGCCCGAACTGGCGGACGATATCTTGGCCTTGGGCCCCATCTGCGAGACAGGTTCGTTCAGCAGCGTGTCCGACGAGTCGTTGAGGCTGCCCACATGATGCTGCTGCTTGTTTAGGAGATTCATCTTGGCAAGCGCCTTCTGCAGACGCCGCTTGGGCGCCAGAGTCATGAATCCTCCCTTTGTGTCCTGCTGATCGGAGTTGGAGCCCTTCTTGGCCGAACTATTGTTGACGCTCTGCAGCAGTTGGGCCATGAAATTGGAGGCCATGCTGCCACCACCTCCACCACTCACTGGCGGAGTCTGTGGCGGGGCACAGTCCGGCTGATCGAGCAGCATATCCACGGAGCTGAGGCGCACCATGTGGGCTCGATTGCTGGCATTCGACAGCTCATCCGTGGTGCTGTCGGACCGGCCGTGCAGCTTGGCAATGTCATTGGCGCAGATGCGTCGCGGACTGCGAAGAACCTTGAAGCTGCCGCTGCCAGAGGACACACCGCCAGCACCCGAGGCACTGCCGCCGCCATGTTCGAGGGCCTGCATTATCTCCTTGAAGCCCAGCAGATTGCTCTTCACATTGATGCTCAGGTGCGTCGTGCCCGTGAGGATCTCATGCGCTCGCTTGCTGGTCACATGATCGAGAGATTGGCCATTTACTTCGTGGATCTGATCGCCACGCTTAAGGCCCACATCCTGGGCCTTGGAGCCAGGCTCCACAAGCGAGATGTAGATGCCGACGGTAGCATTGCCAGTGGCTGCTGCCACGCCTCTCAGCTCGTAGCCGCCAATGATCTGGAAATTCAGCGGCTCGTCGCGCGAAGAGCGCGTCAAAGTGCAGCTTCTCATCCGGGCCTTGGCGGCACAGGCAATGTGCAAGAGTCGCAGCTGACTAAGCAGCTTCTTGCGCTCCAGCAGAGCCTCAAATATCTCCAGAAACTCCATCATCTCGTGGTCAGCCTCAAAGTCCGTAAAGTGATTGTTCACCCAAAGAAGAACGACGCGCGTGACACGATCTCGCAGCTCCTGCGTCTTGTGTGAGTCCATTTGCTCGAGGTCGAACCAGTGAAGCAGCTTGGCGGTCACCTCCTGCTGATTGTGGATGAAAATGCGATGCGTGAGAAGGAAATCCTCCACATAGGTGGGATCCGTCATGGAGTTCTCCTCGACAAGCTGTTGTAGCAGGCGCTCCGGTGTGCCACGAATGACCACATGGCCGCGTTTCATGTTCAGAGAGGCTGCCGCACTTGTCACAGATCCGCTGGTAGCCTCTGCACCACTGCCACCAATGGAACGCAGCTCCGTGACCATCACCACACGTCCCTGCTCATCCTCATGGCGACGTGTGTTCTCCTCGCCCTGATGCTGAATGCGATAGTAGTCCGTCTGCGTGATGCACACAAACTGGCAATCGTCACACTTGGTGCGCATCACTCCGCGATGATAGAGCTTATCCATTGTGGGTAGGATGCCAAAGGAGTCGCCCATCTGCAGCTCCTCGCGTGTGCCATTAGCATGTTCGATCTCTACAGCCCCATTGATCAGCACCGACCATGAATCGAGCTCCTCGCCATCCGACATGACCACAGTGCCGGCTTTATCAACCACAGCAAAGACCATCACGGAGCAAAGAGCACGCCGCACTGCCAGGGTGATGTTGGTAAAGGCCTTTAAGCCTTGGGTGAACTCCAGCAGAATCTCTACATCGTCTTCGCTGCGCTCCGAGGGATCCTTTTCCAAGCAATCGCGCACAGCGTCCCGCACATTTAAACTCTGAACGAGGACAGTAAAAGATAGTAAATTAGAGAGCGAGTCGATTGAGACTTAAAGGATTGTTCCCTTAAATTATGATATGACCATCACTCACATCCATACTCTCTGCGAGATCCTCCTCGTCCGAGTCCACAACGGACTCCACCAGGCCGGAGAGATCAATCTCTTCGGCCTCCAGCGATGAGGCATAGTTAGAGGCCATCGTATCGCTGCCGCTGTACGCAGAACTTGTGTCACTCGAATGCGATCCTCGGTTGCATTTTTGATGCAACTCCGGACGATTGATGGTTGTGCTACCCACAACCGCCCCTCCCGATGTGGCTGTGGTGCTTGTGGGTGGATACTGCAGGGAAGGAAACATGTAAGTTAATCGATAAACAATGGGCATGTATCTTTCTATAGACAGCCGGACAGAGCGACACTCACATGATGTCTGATATGATGATATGGATCCATGAGGCGCGTTGCTGCTGCTGTTAGTGCGGGCCGCAGACGAAGCTACGGCATGCCACCACCTCCCGCCGGATATGTGATATGTGAATGTGGACTCTTGACCCAACGTTTAGCTGTGAGTAAAGTTTAAGTTTACAATTAACATATAATGTGTGGGTGGGATTATTAAGTTCCTTATTTTCTTGATGTAAAGACTACCAGAATTAGGGGTTATCTCAAAAGTACTTTAGAATCTAAAAGAAAAAATCCTCCAATAGAAGAGAAACTCTTCCTTTCGATAGCTAGCTCAAAGCAGGCCAAATATAGATAAATCTCCCTTATTGCTGACTTAAAATATATCGAGAATACTTCATTTAATTATAAATCGCATTCGATAGCAGGCTTTTTCGACTGATCCTTCGATTAAAAAACGATCAAGATGGAATTCTTAATGGAAAATGAATGGCGGGAAAGCTATGGAAGTTATAGCCCTGCAAGAGTAAACATTTTGTAACCCTGTTATAACACTTTTCAAGACAGATCTCACAACGTGCAAGGTTTTAGCTGGGAAGCAAAAATAAATAGACCGGCAAGAGTCAAATTTTTGAGCCAATTTTCATGCCCATCCATTTTTAAAGAAAGATCATATCAGATATCATAAATCTCGGGGCACAGTAAAACAAAGCCCCACAAAAAGAGAGTACGAAATCTTTTAGCTAAAACAAAACAAAAATTGCTGTGAGATTTTGTTGGTCAATTTTGTAGCAAAGTTGTTGTGTTTCAGGTTTTTTGTTTCAAGTCTTTTGTTGCGGCTTTTTGTGCTACTTTTTTTGGGCTTTGGCGTAGGCTATTTGTAGGGTAGTAGTAGGGTTGTGAGGGCAATATGATTTAGTGCAGATGTTTGCAAATTAAGAAGTGCATCAGTTTCAGCTTTAAGATCGCAACACAGTATTAGACACTTATTAATAGAAAAATCCATAGACACACATCTTGTTGAATTCAATTGATAAGCCAACAAATAATCAAAATGTATCTGTAAGTGTTTTTGTATATTTCTACTAAAGTTGAACAAAATCTTAACCCTATAAATCTTGATTTTCATAAGAACATTTGATCTTAAGCCATATCTTATCATTCACAATGCATATCATCCAATTTCAAGAGAAATAATTCCCCACCAACAGGGTATCAAAATCATCCACACCTGCAGCTGATCTCTTTTTCCACCTTTTGTACCAGTTTTTTGTTGCTGCTTTTGTTTCCCCGTACCGAGCACTCACTTTCATTTTCTGCAACAACAAAAACCTAAAACAAAAAACACACGACACAGAAACAATGTTGCTAATAAATTGAGTTAAGTGAGTGAAAGAGAGGGCAATCAAATTCTCATGCAATTGAGTCTGCGCTGCTGCCGACGGCTAAACATCGACGTTGACTGCGCTGACAGAGAGCTGAGCTGCTCATAGGTATGTTTGTATGTTCGTGTGGGAGCCAAAGCTGCTGCTGCTGCTACTGTACATGTGTGTGTGTTAGTGGGCTTGATTGTTCACAAGCGTGTGTGTGGGGGCGAAGAGCGACACAGAAAAATAATAAAACCAAATAAATTGTAGGCGACGACTTCCGTTCGGTCGTTCGGCTGGGGATAAGAGCGAATAATAATAAGAGCAGTTGCAAAATCAAAGTGAAATAAATAAAACACACTTTGCACCACGCACACAAGCACAGCTGCACGCAGGGGCTCACCACACAGACACGAAATATGGGCGTGTTTTTGTACAGTTCAATGATTTTGATACGAAGGGGGAGCGCGACCATCCGTAAGCCTTTTGAAGGCACATCTTTATACACTGTATTTCTATATATTGCACTATCCATCCTGGTGCTGCACTGTCTATAATTATACGCACATTTCTCTTTTCTTCTTCCACCGCTCTTTCTCTTTTGCCCGCTGCCCTTTGCGTACACTCTTTGGCATAAAGAAATTTCAGGCAGCAGCAAACGCGACACCACAGTGTGTGTGTATTGGTATTGTGCTGCGCATTGTTGGAATTTTTTTCTGTACGATTTCCACTGGAGCTTGTTTTCACTAAAATGCTTTCGATTTTTTTAGGTTTTCCGATTGCAGCTTGCTGGATGGTGGTTTATAACTTGATATTGCACTCGAAATTATATTAAATAGGTTTAGAAATTGCCATTTTAATTTAGAAAAAAACTAAAAGTCCGACGCGTATTATAGTGTGACCGACTGCCAACGATTCTAGGCAGTGTGACAGGGCCTCGTAAATATACCAAAATATACCATTGCATCTTCAAAATATAACGTAAGTATACCGAAGTCTTAAATCAGATTCCTCGATTTTGATGTTCTGTTTAATATTACTAGCTAGTTAGTGGACTCCGCGCTAAACAAATTATTTTATTCAATTTATCAAACAATTATCCACAAGATTATCTAGTTTTCAAAATATTCAAAATAACAATAATTTACTCCGATTGAAGAATAATTAATCATTTGTATTGGACTGTATACCTTATGACCTTATGACATTACTACTACACACTTTCTACATACCAATAACATATTTAGCATAGTATTGAAATATTAACAAAATATTTCAAGGATTCAATGTCTATTTAAGATCAAAGATAAATCTAATTAAAGACATATGGAAATGAAAAGGAACTCCTTAGCGCCTTATTCTGCCATTATGGTTATTTTGCTATACAAGCCATTGTATTGTATTAATTTTGAATTGAGTGTAATTGCCATTTTGAAATAAATTCACCCAAGCGTGCGAGTGGCGCTCTAAGAAATAACATAACAGAAGCACATTTGAATTCTAACGCAGATTTCCATGTTAACTTAACAGGTGTCGCTTGCTGGTATTTTCGTACTGCTTGACACACGCACACATGCAAAATAAAGGACAACGCGCGTCATTTTAAAGATGAGTGAGGATTATATATTATGTACATATTGGTTATTATATGTTGGTTGTAGAATAAGATTAGTTTAGATCAAATAATGCCACACAGAACACAGATTTACAAAAATTAAGATTAAACCATGAATATCATATATTATGTAAATAATATACATGTACATTTGTATGCGTCAGTGGTACGTAAAATCTCACTTACCGATTTTCTGCCATTTTTTACACTTATTTCATTGGTCTTTTTTGAACGGAATATCCCTTAAATTTTGTTTTTAACTTTCGTTTTGGTTTTTTATATTTGCTGATTTTTAAAATGTTTTTCTTAAAGCACTAACCAAATAGTATAGTAGATTGTCAATTCAAAGGAAGCGAAACGTCACCGCAGAATGTGCGTCGGGGGGAAGTCCCAGGCTCCTGCCAACGTCGCAGCACTAACCAAATAATATAGTAGACTATCAGCTGCCTATAAGCCACTAACCAAATAATATAATAATAACAAATAATAACAACATAATAATAATAAAATAATAACTGGGCTTTTGCACGATTGTATTTTTTTTATACTGGTATTCGTTCTTAGTATGTAAATGTATGTAAACTATTAACAGAGACACATATACAAATGTTAACTGATATCATTGACAATTAGTGAAAGCGCGAGAAACAAAACAGTAATTGTCCTTTTCATCAATTCAACTTTCGTTTAGGCGCCTACCACTTCGGTTACTGTTACCAACTCATGTAAGCACAAAAAAATGCGTTAAATTCAAACACCAAGTTGTCTGTTTCAACCTATGTACATTAGCAAAAAAGGTAAATTCCACTTAATCTACCACACCAAGAAAGTGTCCCCCAATCAGAAAACAAATTTTTATTGAAAGTAGTGACCCCCATGGGATGAGCCAACAAAAAAAAGGGGGCCTCAAAGGGGGTTGTGTACCAATTTCAATAAGCCGCCTCATCCTAATGCAAAAGCAAGCGACCTAAGTGCATGTTTGCGCCTTTATTGATGACCCAAGGAACGGCAAAAGAACATCCCCCTTTCCATATGCGGCTCTGGTCTTTGGTAAGCCACAAAAAAACAGCAGGAAAAAGCAACATGTTTCGGTTGCGTTTTTTGAGGGGTTCGCAGCCTATTCACCAACCCCCCTCCTTGATGCGGCGCACAAGGGTGTGAAACTAGCGCAACGAATCGTGGAAGGGTGCCGCTGGTGCACGTGTCTTAAAACAAACACAGAACTAGAGTCAGACTCCGCATAGTAAAGAAAATAATAAACATAAAAAAGGGCAAATCCTCGAGACGCCCATGGGCATACCGGGGATCATGGGGGGTGTTCTACTTGATGACTTTATGTCCCCAAGGTGGTGAGCAGCATAGCCGCAGCAACTGCCTCACGCAGTGCAGCGACAAGTTCTCCCCGGTCTCATGGCCTCCGGTTTTATCAGTGGCTTCTGTGGAATATAAAAAAGTTAAATTTATGTGTGTCAATAGTAAAGATTCGAAATTGAAGGATATTGATGATTAGCTAAAGGTTTTTATGGTTCAAAATAAAGTGCAGATAAGACTACAGACAGTAGTGAACTTCGATACACCTGGGGTTGCGGCAAAAGTCATAGTAGTAAGCAGATTTACAGCCATAGAGCCATGTACCATACGTTTTATTTGGCAAAACATTTGTTTGTGGAAAATGGCTAGAAAATAGTTTTATTGGTAAATTTACTGGCTCTCAAAAATTGTGGACCTATTGCGCTTTAAAGCTATCTCTAAGGGTTTTCAATAGTTTTGAGAGCTAGAGGGATATATTTTATTATACCCGGTACTCGAAGAGTAAATAGGGTATATTGTATTTGTGGGAAATAACAGTTGTATGTAACGCACAAACAAGGAAATGTTTCCGACCCCATAAAGTATATCTATTCTTGATCAGCATCAATAGACGAGTCGATAGAGCCATGTCTGTCCGTCTTGTTTGTCGGCTAGTTCTCAGAGACTATAAGAGCTAGAGCCACCAAATTTTGCATTCAGACTGCTATATGCTCACACTGAGATCAGTGTATTTCAGAAATGAGCCACGCCCCCTTCCTTCCCCCAAATCTACAGTTTTGAAGATAAAAGAAAACTAAGAAAACGCCATTCCGTAGGGAATAGCCATATCTATCAGATCACCAAATTGGTATCCGATCGGAGCATTATTATTGCCACAATGGAGAAATTAATTTCCAGTAGCTAAACCCACCATGTCCCGCAGCTTTTGTTGCTCTTTTTACATTCTCTCATTCACACTTTGTTTCTGCTTCACTCGGCCTCTGCCTCTGCCCTCCCCCTGATGATGCCTCTTCCGACTTTTAACCCACCCCGTCCCGCAGCTTATATTTGTTTTTATTTGTATGCGGGCGCTGCCTCTGCCTCTGCCGCGAGTCTGCAGTGTGTGGGTCTAGGGAAGGGCGGCGAGCTAAAGGAGCGTGTTGGTATGAGTAGTGTTGTTGATGTAGATGACCGATGAAGAAAAAATTGAAAATTTGACAAAACACCGCTAAGGTGCAGATGTAGTCCTGAGTGCCGGGTATAAAAGTTGTGACGCGTAAAAAGTGTCTCACACGTCCCTTCTCGTTTTTATTTTACTTCTGGTGGCATACTTCTTGGTAGCTTACGAAGAACTTGCGATCTCTTGTTTTTTATCAACTTTTTAGGGTCTGTAGTTCTCCACGAATCTTAGATCTTCCGGCAGTTGATTTATAAACCAAATAAAATTATTACTTCGAGAAAGATTCTGTAATTCCCCTCATATACATACGTATTTATAAAGCAAAAGAAAATGCTACAAAAAAGTCCAAATACCACCAGCAAAAATTAAATTTTATTCAAACAACTTTAAAAGTTAGAACGAATTGAGTACAAAAAATGCTTGTACAATTGTGCATATTTAAACATATATTTGATAATGTTTCTGATATTTGAAGGTTTTTAAACAGCACCAGTTCAGGCGAATACTTCATCAGGATCGTCTCCCAAATTGGTTTCACTAAGCATAGTCCTCCTCTTTACCCGCCTGCATTTTATCACATTTTCTAGACCAAGTCAATGAGCATGAAAATTAATGAATAAGTTCTGTCTCACTCTCACACTCCCACTCGATACTCACATATGTTGAATTTTATGAATTATTGAGGCTTTATCTGAATTTGATTTCTTGAGGTACCGAACAGCATCATCGCGCAGTGTTCGATAGAATTGATAACAGTATCCCCTAATTTTTAGTTGCAGATCACTGCAAAGCCGCCACAGTTGGTTCTCTAGATCTAATCTGGTCGAGTTATACTTTTGGTATGACTGCAGATTCGCCAACTTCTTTTGATTGTGTTCGAGGCCCATTGCAAGTGCTTCAATCAGATAACTATGCCAACCTTTGTATTCAGAATTGCCGTAGACAAACCCTTTGATATTTTCCAATTCAGCTTTGATCATAGCATCGATTTGAATCGCCAGCTTCCAATCATTATATGTTACGCTGCTCGCTAGCTGCATCCAAATGCCTGCATTATAAATTAATTGTTAGCCTATAGAACTTTTATTTAAAATGGTTACTTAGAACTTGCATAAAATTAACGTAAATAAAAGCTTCATTCTGTAGCTTAGGGCTTCTTTATCAGACTAAAATTCTTGCCAACGAGTATAATGTAAAGCGAACCTCAGCAAAATCGATTCGTACTGGATGGATGGACCATCTAATTGCAGAAGTTGCCATGATAATTATGTTTATTTATTTATCGTGCGAGGCTATGGATATTTTTAGAGAATTATTACCTAAAATTATTAGTAATTGATATAAAATAATTCCCAATAAATCATTTTAAAAACGAGAAGGGAAGTGTGAGACGCATCTTACGCTTGACAACTTCTATACCCGGAACTCAGTCAGTGTACCTGTACCATATTGTTTTTTTTTTTTTCGAATTTTACATTTAAAATTTTTCCTACACCTGTCATCTACATCTACATAACGGCAACTGCAGAAGCAGAGTGTGAATGAGAGAATGTGAAAAAATCAACAAAAGCTGCTGGACAGGGTGGGTTTAGCCACTGCAAATTAATTTCTTCATTGTGGCTATAATAATGATCCAATCGGATCCCAATTTGGTGATCTGATATGGTCATTCCCTTAGGAATGGCGTTTTTCGATTTCTTTTATCTTCAAAATTGTTGATGAGGTTCTCGCCATTTTGAGGGGGCAGAAGGGGGCGGGGCTAATTTTTGAAATACACTAGTACACAGACGGACAGACAGACATGGCTCAATCGACTCGGCTATTGGTGCTGATCAAGAATATATATACTTTATGGGGTCGGAAACGCTTCCTTCGGTGCGTTACAAACAACCGTTATTCGCACAAATACAATATTTACAAATACCCTATTTACTCTTCGAGTACCGGTTATAATAAGCATAAATGATTTAAACAATTTAAAATGAAAATTTTTAAATTAATAAATTTGACAATATATAAAATTATGATTGAAATAACTAAAAATAATGAACCAAAAATTATTTGAAAACATTCTATGGATCAAAATGGTTTAGAATTATTAGTTTATTATTTAATGAGTTCAAAATTAAATTTGTATACCCGGTACTCGAAAAGTAAATAGGGTATATTGTGTTTGTGCACAAAAGTGAATGCACATATGTAACGCACAGAATGAAACGTTTCCGACCCCATAAAGTATTTATATTATTGATCAGCATCAATAGCCGAGTCGATAGAGAGATTTCTGTCTGTCCGGACAGTTGTGTTATTGTTTTCATTTGGTTTTTTCGAGTATTCTTGGTCTTATGATGATCATTTTTATTTTCAGTTCTACTCTATATGAATCCCATAGCTAACAGCCAATGTAAACCACAAGTTCTTCATCTTCTTCTTTGAAACATTTTAGGTCCGTTTGCAATGATTTTTGTAATATACATACATAGGTACATCAATAATATTATTCGTTTATGCCCTACCAAATATAAACCCTGTAGCTAGAATGCTGAGAATGTCACAACATTTTGAATAATATTCTTACGACATTAGTTCCTCGATTTAGATTTTGGTTTTTTAATAACTATGTAAATAATGTAGTCCCGGTGCTTTAAATTCTTTGAAACTAAAAAAGATTAGAATTGTCTATACTTCCAGTGGCTATCCTTTGTGCAATATTTCTGCTAACCACAGACTAACAACCTTTTTTCCCCACTCCCCCCCACACACACATACATACATATATATATGTATACATACTTATACATCCCTCCACCATATTCCCTCCACCCCCACACTTTGTTTTTTCAGTCCTAACCTAAATCTCTGAGCGCATTTGTTGCTCCCGGCACTTTTCTCCCTTCCTGCTCGCTCTCTCTCTATTACTTTTCCTTCCTTTTTGCTCTTTTCGCCTTTTGCTGTTTTCTTTTACTCACAATAAAATCAAAGATTGCGTCTGGGATTTTGTTTTCGCAAAACCTTAAAAGAAAGCCAAGTCAAATAAGAATCCAAAACCCTCCGGGGATCTCCATCTGCGAGCCCAGAGTTGCTGGCATGAGGGTCATGGGGCATGGGCCATCCGAGTGTGTGTGTGTCAAATAATAACTTATTGATTTAGATTGCAACTTTAACTGCTGGTTAAAGGTTGCCGTACAAAATATTAGCAAATATATAGACAGTGGCTCTCCGACAGGAGACGGTCCTGCCTTACTGCGGGCACTTTTTCCAATTAGCAACAAAACAAAGGGAAATCAAATCCCAATCCCAGTCCCAATCGCAATGCCAGAGAAAAAAAACCGCACAAATAATTACATTGGCTGCCAAACGCAGCTGGAGGGCACAGCCCAGCAAAAGCAGCAGCAGAGTACAGGCTGCCAGGAGAAACAAAATGCGGAGATGCAGGAGAAAGAATAGCCAGTGAGGCGCCGACATGTTGCATACTCTTAAAGACTGAGCGTTGCCTTGGTAAATAAGACAATTATGGTTGGAGCATGATTAAACGATCATATTTAGGTGATATTTAGGTGGTATTTAGGTTACAACTCGAAATATATGATCATCGAAATATATGAGAATTTTGTGATAAATTAGTTATTTTCTTTCATTTATTGGCTGAATAAAGTATCTATCCGAATAATGTATGGAAAACTGCACTGTCCAAAGTTTAATTGCCGTATCTTTAGAAAAAAACATCGTTAAGAACCATTGTTGTCATATTATCTGTTTTTTATATTGATTATGGCCTCAATAGATCCTCATTTTATGCTGCAATATAAGGGTCAGTGCATAGCTAACACTTGAAAGCTACAAAATTGGGTATACATATACAAGAATTGAATCATCAAAGACCAAACAAAATATGTACATCTCCATACCATCTCAATAGAATCTGTCCACGAACACTCGTACGTTAGCTACTTTCTACACTCACAAATGAATTCTTCTCTGCTTCACAAACCCCTCTTCAAATACACCATACTCTCTGTTAAATTGCACCCAAAAGATGTGTAACTTCCGGTTAGGGGATTAACTGTGTATGTTTGTGTTTTCTCTATCTTCGGCTGTCAAATTGACACCGGCAAAAGAAAAACCAGACACAGAACCAGCAGCAAAAACAATGCGCAGAACAGAGCGCTCTAGTCAGGGGGTGCTTGGGGGGCTATTGCGTGTCTGGGAAAATCTGTCTGTAATTGAGCTTGAGAGTCGCAGCTGTTTTGGCGGATTTAACAATGCGTTGACTATGAGCCCCATCCCGTTCGGACTTCGTCCCATTCCATTCTGTGTGCAGCAAGTACCGACTCGCTTCAGTTCTGTTCTGTGCTGTGGAGTGCCCCTCTTCCTTCAGCAATGTCAGATATTCTTAGTATACACCCAGGCGATCTTGCGCGGCACTGTGGGACGTGAGGGATATGAGTTTTGGTTTCAGAAAATCATAAATTGAGTTCTCGACTGATTTTCATGCTTTTTTGTAACGAGAGTAAAATTTAAATTGTATATTGGGATTGTTCGGAACACCAGAAAAACATATGTACATACATACATACATAGTTATTAAGATAAGCAATAATCTCGTCTCGTCTATCTCTTATACTAATTTTCATATCCATCACTCCCTCCCTCAGTACATAGAAGCACTCGCATATACCTTTCGTACTGCAGTGTTTCGCCCTTTTCTCGAGGTAGTCTAAAATATTGTCGAGAGCAATCCACATATTTTCTAACACTGCGCAACATCTTGTCGGTTTCCTTACACAAATCTTGTTCAGCCTAACACACCGAATCGGCCCTTTAAATTGTATTTAATCGAGATCAATCGTCACCAGCTTCCAACAAGGGTAATATGTTCTTTCTAGATGTCTAATGGAAATATTTGTAATAGAGCAGCTTTCCTGTTGAATCGCCTATCCATTATTAATGTCAGCTGTTTTTCCTAATTATGGCTTTATTTTTGCTTTATAAATCTCATTGCCAGATATGTTGACTCATGAATGCACTGCAAAAACTGGCTTCGTTTTGGGATGAAAGATCACTACTTTAGCACCACAAGTGTAATTAGGGTTCAATATAAGCAATAGAAGATAATTCTATGCAGAATTATAATTTACACAAGCAAACATGTTAATTCCACTTTTAATAGTCCTTCAACCACTGTGCTGTCTACCGACCTTATGGAACAGCCACATTTTCCCCAGCAATTTGAATTAATAAGTTTATTATTTTCCATTTTTGCCGCTGGTGCCAGTCCTGCTCTGTGGGTCCTGCTCCTGCAGCGACTTAAGCAGCGGATTTGTATTTTATGTTATTTAATTTGCTCGGGGGCTGGCTGGCTGTGTGTGTGGGTGTGGGGGGTTTGTCAGAGAGTCAGGTGCAAGTGTTATTGGGGCCAAGGATTTGTCCTGCTCTTAGGATGCGAAGGATGCGGCCTCAGCTGTGGGCATAGCACACAGCGGCTCAAAGTCTCATTTAGTTTTTGGAGGTTCTCGGATGCCACTTAAGACCCCATGCCCTTATCCATTTACCCTCCTTTTCCACTTCTCCCACCATGAATTTCAAGATGCGCTTCTTCCTCTCCATTTTGTTCTCCGTTTTTTTCTGTTTATTTCTGCTGAAATGTCTTAAGCTTACTGCATTTAATATTTAATTGTTGTTTACACATACTTTGTCTGTTTTTTGTTTTTAATGCTCTTACAATAGAATAGTTTATCTTGTTTAATTTAATTTTCTTGTTTAATTTTTTAACATGATTGTGCTCAACGATTCTCTGTTTTCTTCTGTTTTCCATTTTCCCATTAGGTATATGTTTTTTAATTTTAATTTTGTTTGTTTGTTGATCCGAAATTAGTTGATGTAAGTTCGTTGTGTGTGTATTTTGTTTGTATGTATTACATAATTAATAAAAAGAGTGTGTATTTAATTTAAAATGTATTTTTTATATTGTTTTAGCATATTTAACAATGCAAAATCAGCACTTATGATTGATATATTCTAAGAAATTAGAATGCGCATTTGCGTTGAATGCAACTCTTAAATAGAATTTAGGGCGTATAGAAAAGAAAATAGTCTTAGAAGTGAAATCGTTACCAAGGAAGTCCAATAACTAACTACCAACTACCCGACCTATGAGCTATGTAAAAAACGAAGCGCTACCTCTCAAAATAGAGTTAAAAAAATACCAGATTTTAAAAATTCTATAAAAGAAAGTTCTGACAGAAAATCAAATTTCAACAACCATTTCTGCCCCATATCTTTCAGCACAAATTAGTTTGCATCGAAGCGGAAAAATCGTGTCGGGTAGTGTACTTAATCCCAAATAACTGAAATGTATTGTAGAATCTCCCAAGTGATAATTCAGATCTGGAAAGTTACATAAAAAGAGTCTTTGGAGTCAAACAATCACTGAATACAAACGATGGTGATCTCCAAACCTCTTTTTAACTTGGAAATGTGACAATAAATTCATGAAGTTTTTTGTATTTGGCCTTACACTTTAAAAGTTTTAAATAGAGTCTTTACAGAAGGTCTAGGTGAGCTCTTTTGGGGAAATTTAGATTTAGTTAGAGTGAAGATCTTCTAAATGACATAGAGTTTAATAGAAAACAGTTCAGAGAACTTGTTCGCAGGAAATTCCCTGGAATAGAGATAAAAAAAGATCGTTTTAAATATAGTATCTCTTACATAAATATTTTGGCTCCAAACCACCATGGAGAAGATAGCAAGAGCAAAGGAATAGAGTGAGGAACTTCTAAGTATATCATTAAACCGCTAAAGCTCTTCTAAAAACCAAACTTTACGTCACATAAACCATCGGAAAAGGGCATGAAAATCATATTTAATATGCACATTCCCAAAACTTTCTCTTTTAAAAATTGCATTCCATTCTCGACGGGCCGAGCATTTCAGTATTAATTGAAATTCAATAATGTCTTTTATTCTGTTTCAAATTCCTCATATAATTAGCTTTTCTTTTAATATTTTGTTTTACTACAGCGAAACCTGGTTAAAGCTTTTGTATAGAATCATAGAAATAATAATAGATACATATGTATACACAAAGATTTTACATGTACAATAAATATAATTAATATGATTGGATTTTTCCTGGCTCTTGAGAAAAAACACAAAACCGAAAGTAGGGAGACAAAGGCACAGGGGAAATTTGATTAAAGGAAAGACATCGTTTTTGTTTTCTTTGATATGCTAGACGTCTAATTGACTTTTGTTAAGACTGTGTGGGGGAAAGTGTGTGTGTGTGATTAGCCTAGGATACTTGTAGAGCTCTTTCCTACAAAGCATTTTGCATAAAAGTTGTTTCTTTATTGTCAAAATTATATGCAGGTTTTCCATGTTTTGCTTTTCCATATGTAATCATCGAGTTTCATTTCCATCATCAAAATTCAATTTTGAGTTGAGATAGAGAGTGTCATGATACGAGTAGGGATGGTGTGGGTGTAGTAGCATCATATAAATATAAATTCATTTCGATATATACATTTTGAACAGTTTAAGCGAAAATCATGTGATCACGATACGAGATAGATCCAGAGAGAGAGAAAGATAGAGAGAGAGAGAGCAGTCAGGTGGAGGAGCGATAGGTACACACATATGTCAATGGTTTCGATCTGTTAGATTCTATTTAATAGAATACAGAGTTCTTTTTTTTTACTACGCTTACTTATATGTATGTATACATATCCATTCATTATTCAATTGATTTTCCAGTGTATATTATTTACATTAATTCTTAAGTTTTTTCTTTTGCTTCGTGCTGTTGTGTTTAGTGGGGGTTTTCTTAGTTTTTGTATAAGCTATTGACTCGGTTGTGTTCTTAAACTTAGGCTATGACTAAGCGATACCTGTGTTTTACCAGAAACAAAAAAATATGTATATGTATGCATAAGAGTACCATCTGATAAACGTGTTTTGAGAGAGGGATGCCATAGGAAGGGGATCAATACCGGGAGGGCCTTGTATTAGGAGAGAATATTGGGGAGATACCGGACCCTTTGTAGTAGTTTCTTTGAGGTTTATGTTGAATAAATGCAAATCTTGCCCCGAGATCGTACATGAATACTTATGTGCTCTTCTTTGGAATAGATTGTCTGGAAAGATGTTTGGAAAAGTCTGAAGTACCCCAAAATAAGTAACTCCTCCACAGAATTTTTGAGCAGATACAAATTTTTCCTGTGAGATTATAATTATTAATATTATTTTTTTAGTTTTTAGAGAAGATTTGGATCATTTAAAAAAAAATTATTAAAAACTTTAAACTAAAACTAAAACACGTCCCTACGTGTGAGACGCTTCTTACGCGTCAAAACTTGGTTGCCCTATCTCTTATGGTCTCTGAGTACTGAATGATG